TATAAATGCTATGCAACAGGACTGCCAAATTGCAACACAGAATGGGAGAAATTTGTCATTTTGAAATGCTAAGGGAATTCTTACTAACAGCTTTCTCATCTTGTAAAGCTATTATTTTTCTGAACTATAATATGATTTATAAATCTCAGCTGAGTTTTATACTTTTGATGGGAACAGACTCCAAATGAAATGCATTTTCTTAGAATATAAATTTTCTCAGGAGTTGACCGGATGAGGAATAAAAAGAAACCTTTTCTGCAACCAAGCGTACCAAATCTTGGTCTCTACCAGCATATCCACAGGTGAATGTTGGTCTTCTCCAGAGTTCTGGGTTCAGCCTCTCTTCTCACTCTGCACACTTGCCCCGACATCAGCTGCTTCGAGAGCCTTACCTCTTACTTCTGCCGCCGTGACCCACATGCCTCTGCCCCCCGCCCCTCACAGCCATCCTGAGTTACAGGTTCCTATGTCTAAGGTCAACTAGATTGGCCACCATCATGCCCAACAGACCACTCAACCTCAAGTCCTCTCCTTTCCCGAAACGCTGTCCCTTCTCCTTGAATCCCTGTACTCCAACAATACTAACATCAACAGAAATAAGGAAGATAAAGTTCTTGCTCTTGAGAAGCTTAGGAACTAGCCCAGGAGATAGAAAAATAAATAGGCAGCTATAGTGCAGATTATTAAGTGCCATGTGGGATAAACCCAAGAGTCCGTGGCTCACAGGAAGAGCAAACAGGCGAGAAACCAGTCCTAGTGGGTACGAGTTCTGGGTAACTAAACTGTGTGCCTGTGTGTGTGTGTGTGTGTGTGTGTGTGTGTGTGTGTTATTCTCATATGTGTGTTGAGGAGTCACAGAAAAGGGCAGGAGTCCCATGGACAGAGTCCCAGGGGCAGAGATTGTGAAGGCAAAGAGAGGGTATGGCTTGGACAGAGTGCTCCGGAGGGATTAGATAAAGATGAAGTCAGGTCAGAAAAAGACTCCTATCCCGCATTTGATCCGCACAGTTTGGAATCCAAAGGGCATGACCAGAGGTTTGGCCGAGCATGGGCATGGAAATATATGCTCAGTCTTCATGAAGAGCTCCGGGGGTCACAACCCAGGCTCCAGGGAGCCCCACCAGAGCCTCAGTTCTTCACAGTGGGTTCCATGAGATGCTAAATGGATCCAAGGGAAATCAGTTTGAGGTTACATTTCATAATAGCACTTACCTCACATGCCAATTATACTTTTTATATGTGATCTTTAATCTTTAATCCCTTAAAATCATTCGAGGCAGCTCATGAGCTTTGGAGGTAGACAGGGGAAACCTTAAAACCTTGAGCGTGCTCCTTGCCCCCCTGCCTCTTGGTCATCCTCACCGGTAAAGGGGCAAATAAGCTGCAAACCTTCATCTTAATCCTTCTAAAAATAAGAGCATTTTAACAGGTTTGCTGAAGTTGACCTAAACTGACAGGAAGATATTTAAAGTTTTTATTTCCTGGCTTTTTATGAATGTTCTTACATTTTGCTATGGAATATGGATGGGTTTGATTATGGGGATGTTAATACTCTATTATCATCTTAACTTTCTAATACCTGAAAAACTCCGAATTCAAAAAATGCATCTGACCCAAGAGTTTGGGATGAGGAAGGAATTTAAGAAGGTGTAATATATGTAAAATGTAAGATATATAAGGCAATGTATATGTATTTATGATATTTATACATATGATACATATTACATATACATAAATACAATTATACATGTTACAAATATATTATACATAATATTTATGTCTAAAGGGCCTCCCTGACATGGTGGCTGGCACACAGGAAGGGCCCAGAAATTAGAACTATTATCAAAAAGAGAGAATAAATCATCATAGACTTCATAAAACAAGACATGAGGGAAACGAAAACATCTTAGAGGAAAAACATCTTAGAAGAAATTTTTCTCTCTGGCTCCCCACATTTTTATAATTATACTTTTGAAAATTTGGGGTGATTTAATTTTTCTAAGCATGGTCATAGGCTTTGCCATTGTTCTCTTGTTCAAAGCAAGAGGAAGAAAATTCAGAATATTTACAAATGCTAACAAAGGCAGATGTGGGGAGATTCTGGGAGAGGAAATAGCACCAGTAAGGGCCCAGTAGATTGGAAGCGGTGTTCAGATAAGGGGAATGAACTTCTCAAACTCTAGATTCATGCCAGGGAGCATGGCACAAAATGAGGACAAATGAAGTCAGAGGGGCATTGGGGAGAAATTTTATGAAAACCCTTGAATACAATGGTAATTTTGTATTTTATGCTATAGATCAGGGATTTTCAAACCATTTTAGCAAGAGAATGTCATTTTGTTCTGTTTTAAGTAGGCTCCACGCTGGGCCCAAGGAAAGACTTGAACTCAAGACCCTGAGATCAAGACCTGAGCTGAGATCAAGAGTCCAACACTCAGCTGACTGAGCCAGCCAGGCATCCCAAATGAATTTTGTTGAAGTAGAATTTAATTTGCCTGAGAACTCTACACTGCAACCACCCACCAACTCATTTTTACTCTATGGCGCAAGTGCTCTTTTTATTTTTATTTACCTTTTTTTTTTTTTTTTTTAAGAGAGGGGAACTGGTGGGGAAGGGCAGAGGGAGAGGGAGAAAGAGAATTTTAAGCGAGCTTCACGCCCATCATAGAGCCTGATCTCACAACCCTGAGATCATGACCTGAGCCACAATTAAGAGGTGGATACTTAACAGACTAAGCCACAAAGGCACCCCCCCAAGGGTTCTTTTTATTTTTTTCCTAAGATTTTATGTATTTATTTGAAAAAGAGAGAGCATAAGCCAGGGGAATGATCAGAGAGAGAAGGAGAAGCAGACTCTCTGCTGAGCAGAGACTCGGATGGGGGGCTTTATCCAGAGACCCTGGGATCAGGACCTGAGCTGAAGGCAGATGCTTAACTGACTCATCCACCCAGGTACCCACCAGGTTCTTTCTGTAAAGGAGCAAATCTGATTATCTCACATCTTCGGATGCATTTGTCAAAGAGGTCTTATCAAGCTTGCTATAAAATGCCATCTCCCTGCAGATTCGGGGTGAGTTAGCCCTGTGCACCTCCCCCACTCTTCTCACACCCCCTTCCTGACCTAACCATGGGTCAGTTCTGCAGTGAGCCATGAGCCTCCCACCCCGAAGATCTTTAAAGGAGGTCCTCTCCTTTGTTTCTCCCTCCTACTTGCCCTAGTAAGTGCCTTCTCTTTCCAGTCGGAGCCTTCTTGTCTGGGGGGTAGTCTTCCCTGGCTTGGTCAAGACCCCCTGTGGTATACTCTCCCACACCCTGGGAACATCTGTTTAGCACTTAATCACAGTCATGTTATATGATTAGTTGTGGATTTAGCTGTTTGGTGCTTTCTGCCCAGTATGCTGTTGATTTTGAGAATGGGAAGCGGCCCCATCTGACTTGTACATAATGGTGTCCCTGGCCAGTGTGTGGCCACCAGTCAGGCCTCCAACAGCTGTTGGTTGAAAATATACCAATAAATACAACAAGAAGACAAATGGGGGAGGAGACCACTTTGGTAGGGAAGAGGGTGAAGCCTTTAGTTGAAATGAGAATGCCAAGCCTGGGCTACTTCCCACAAGTCCTTCTCCTCACCTTCCGCAGGGGTCCCTGAGGCACTTCCTGGTGGGCTACACTCAGGAAGTGCTAGATAATGGGATGCTCTGACTAACAAAAGGCTTTGTAATTTGGCTTTGGGATGAGTGTTCTCAAGAGGGTTTTCTTGGCCTGAGGAAACTTTCTGCTTATGGTCAACAGAATGGATCCATGATCAAAGTAGCTTTGCAGAAGCAAGAAGCATATTTCATTCATTTATTTCAACATCTCATCTCTCTTGGGTAAGAAGAGACTATAAAAGACATCTGTAGGGTGGTCTGAATTTTATTCTTTTGTGCAAGACTGGGTTTAGAGTAGATATTTCTTTGGAAAGTAATCTTGGCCTAGGCCCACACCATCAAGAAAGCCACATCTATATTCTGTAGAGCTGTGGACACATGGGCCCCTGCTTGGGTCTGCAGTCATGTGACATAGGGCAGATCATGTGACCCTAATCCTCCTTTAGTGTGCTTAGCTGTAATGGAGCCAAGGGATCCCTTTCTCTGTGAAATAGGGCCCATCAAAGTAAAAATTACCTTTTGATTGAGTAACGTTGATGAAGATAATCAATAGAAAGGGATCAAAATCCACTGGTACTGTTTCATTGTTAAGTGTTGTGGACTTCACATACAGGAACGCTGGGCTTCAGGGTTCAACATCTGCGAAGCCCGCTGAAAATACACAGCAGAGTGGGTCAAAGGAGAAGCAGTCTGTCTGTGCAGTCCGAGATTAAGGAGAAAATATGTGCTGGCCAGAAGTAATTTTCAACCTCCAAATATTCTTTCCAGATTCTAAGATCCTGTGTTTGACATGTTTAAGAGAGAGATACAACAGCTGAAATTGTCTTTGTTCAGAATGTAGGAGACAGTTTCGTCTAGACTTTCAGGAAAGATAGAGAATGACATTTTCAGAACAAATCAAAATAGATTTTTAAATTCTCTTTTTCCCCTTCTGGAAGAGGACTTGACATGCTTTTCTGATTTGAATTTGGTGGGTCTATAAATGGCTTCAGTCATTTGATACAAAACTAGGATAAAATGAGCCATTGAGAAAAGTTACTGAAAATGCCATTACTTCCCTTTCTTACCTTAACAATACTATTAGCCCCACCACCAGCAGCACAACAACTGATATTTATTGAGTGGTTTCTAAGTATGTGCTATGCTTTTGACATCCTTTTTTTTTTATTTAGTTCTCAGAGCAATCCCATGAGCTATGCGTTATTATGAATGCCAGCTTTCCAATGATCAAACTGAGGCACAAAGAGGGGGGTGACCTGCCCAAAGCCACACATAGGTGGCCAGGCCAGGATCCAACGTCCCTTGAACCTGCTGTCCTCACCACAGCACTCATGTCTTCTTTCCCAACAGGGCCAGCATCGTACAGAAACGCATCATTTATTTCCAAGATGAGGGCTCTCTGACCAAGAAGCTTTGTGAACAAGGTAAGGCCTGCAGGTGGGGGAGGGGCCAGAGAAACAGAAGGGGGCTCATTCTGCCTGACCATGCAGCGGCAGGACTTACATGACGGGCTTTCTGAACTTCTCCAGGTTCTGCTTCCTCCCGTAGTGCTGATTTTTAATCTGGCTGTGCAGTGGATAATTGGATCCACCGTAAGCTCTTAATTACTCAGCTTGATTCCCTGGGTAGGAGATAATGTACCTTATATTGGTGTCATCTTCTTATTTTTGTGAAACAGTGATGATTCTAGAGAGGTTCCTTGGAATAATTCACAGGACTTAATTAAGAAATGCACAACTGTGTACCTTTAAGATGTGTGTAATGGTTTTCCAGAATAATTGCCGGCAGAACTTGTGTGGCAGCTGGGCAACATGGGGGGATTTTACCCAAGAAAGACGGGTGCAAGGAGGACTGCCAAGGGGTCACTGACCTTATGAATGTTCCACGTTCAAGGACATGGCCCTTAGATTTGCAAGCTTACTGAAGCTCTCTCCTTGGGCTGAAGGCATTCTAACAAAACTCACGGAGATCAAGTAGACTGGCAGGTCAAAGAAGAGGCTGGGATTCAGATCCAGCCTGGGTTTGAATCCTCCCTCTGCCCTTCCCAGCGATGTGACTTAATATATATATAAAATAGTACAGCACCTCCTTGGCACATAGTAAATATGTGTGTGTGTTAGCTATTGTTATCTGTACCCGAAAGCTTGTTTATTAATCTATCATAAAAAATTCAGACCTTAAACATCTGAATGTGTTTACAAGTCATTAGAGAACTAAATAAAAATAGAAAATGTTCTACAATTATATATCTTAACTGTCTAATTTCTATTCATCTTTGCAGAATTTTTATTTGCATTTACAGCAGTTAGCAATTTGAGAGAAATAATCTTCTCCAATTCTAGCAAATCATAAGCTACTAAGAAAAAAAAAGGTTTATAAAGGTCTTCTGGGAAAAATAATAATAATAGCTAATATTTTTCGCAGGCTGCTGTATGCCAGGCACTATTCTAAGCACTTCACGTGCCTTGCTCACGTGCTCTGCACAGCAGCTCTATAGGGTGAAGAATGTTAGATCGTCCCTATTTTATAGACAAGACGTGTGTAAAACAGAAAGTTTTAAAAGCTCACTTGGCATCATACAGCTAGTGGTCAGGGGCAGGGTTTGGACCTAGGAGCCAGCACTCTTAACCACTTCCTTCCTGTCGAAGGGACTACATTTCAAGACATTGTGCCAAAGCATAGCTCCCTCTGGATGAGTGAGAGCAGAAACGAGGTCCAATGTGAAAGATGACTTGGAAAACGTGAAAAGAGCAGAGGGAGAGAATGAGATGCCCTCCATTTAAAGTTATCCCTGTCAGGCCAGAGAGCTAGAATCTGGGCACCAGGTCCCTGGTCAGCTTCCAGGTGGATGGGACCACACATGGCTTTGGGGGTTTTCCTTTTCGTCGTTAATTGCCCACAAGTTCACACAGCCTTTTTTTTTTTTTTTAAAGATTTTATTTATTTATTTGACAGAGATCACAAGTAGGCAGAGAGGCAGGCAGAGAGAGAGAGAGAGAGGAGGAAGCAGGCTCCCCGCTGAGCAGAGAGCCCGATGCGGGGCTCGATCCCAGGACCCTGGGATCATGACCTGAGCCGAAGGCAGAGGCTTTAACCCACTGAGCCACCCAGGCGCCCCCCCACTGAGCCACCCAGGCGCCCCTTCACACAGCCTTTTTGCAAGCACAGAACATCCTGACTGCTGACACTCTTTGCTCCCGAAGTACGGTCCACTTCCTGCCCTGTCCCCATGAGATGACGTCCAAGTCCCTTGAGTTGGAGTCAGAGCGCTCTGGGTCACAGGTTTATATAAACCGCCTCTAGGTCTACACCCACAGATGACTAAGCACAGCCCCTGCAGTCTGGTTTTGTTAGTTTGTCATGCAGAGGACAGCCTTGTTTCCCAGATTTGAAGATTCTTAGGAAACACCTTGTCATCCCCACCTACGGAGAGTAATCATTAACTAAAGTGCATTTCCCGGAGCCTCAGCCCTGATGTTGTGTGAAGCCATACAAATATGCAAATTATGCAGATGCCATGTCCATCGAATGGCACCGAGTCTTTATGGGTTATCCCTTCTGAAGCGGAGATCCTATCAAAATGACTAAACATGTCTATATAGAAAAAGATCATTTTCCGACAGCAACTTTGTGGACCCAAAAAAGGCCCTACAGGCCCTGAGTTGAAGGATCTTAATGTGAAGTTGTAGATCATCCCCTGGAGAGAGCAGACCCATGAGGACATCCCACAATTAGCAAAGCAGATCGTATTAAGAAAGTCTTTAATTTGTAAGCAGAGAGCAAAGGGATTTCTCTTAAATGTGTATACCTACCTAATTATCTCTAGCTCTTTCATTAAGGTCTTTACGTTCTCCGCTTCCTTGGTGAGTCAAATCAAATCTATCAAGGAAGGGGAGAAAGAAACCAGTATCGAGTGTTTTTCCTCCGTTGAAGCTGGGCATCCATAGGGGGAAAAGTAACAACTGCAAACACAAAAGGCAATGGCAATCATTATTTTTTAAAAGAAACATAAAACATTAAGTTATCTACAATTAGGGATGGGGAGACATAAAATATTCAAAAAGGTGACCTATAATAAACACACGGACTCCCATGCTTACTTTAATACCACATCACGAATGATGAAGAGAGAAAGACAGAGGGAACTCAGGGAAGGGAGGAAAATGTCGGAGAGAGGGATAAGGAGAAAATGAAGACTAAGGGGAGAGCTGAAAAAGGAAGAAGCTGGTGGATAGAGTGTGGAAATGAGAGAAGGGGCAGCTGGGGAGATCAGCATGGCCAGAAGTCCCCCATTGTAGGGCAGACCCTACTGCGGTTAGCAGAAGAGGGGTGATAAGATTTTACTTATTTATTTGTCAGGGGAGGGAGAGAGAGTGCGAGTGCACACAAGCAGGGGAAGCAGCAGGCAGAGGGAGAAGCAGGCAGGGGGAGCAGCAGGCAGAGGGAGCAGCAGCCAGGGGAAGCAGCAGGCAGGGGGAGCAGCAGGCAGAGGGAGCAGCAGGCAGGGGGAGGAGCAGGCAGGGAGAGCAGCAGGCAGAGGGAAAAGCAGGCAGAGAGAGAAGCAGGCTCTCCACAGAGAAGGAGCCCAATGCTGGATTCGATCTCAAGACCTTGGGATCATGGCCTGAGCCGATGGCAGAGGCTTAACCGATTGAACCACCCAGGTGCCCCAGAAAATCTAGTTCCTTTTCAATAGGCTTTTTTCCATAGGGAACAGTATGTCTGTTTTTAGTTTCAAACTTGGGCCTTATTTTTTAAATGGAAGCTGATTTTCCTTTGGAATTCCACAAGATTTATTGTAAGTGCATTCCCCTGAACTTCTGAATATATCTTTAAACTTACTACCCATATCTGAAAAGATATTTTCGGAAAAGATTGAGAAGGTAAAGCCACCGATTTGCCTTATTTTATTTTATTTTATTTTATTTTATTTTATTTTATTTTATTTTATTTTTTGAGAGATTGCTCCCTCATCACATAGCTCCAGGAAGCTACAGTTGAAAGCCCAATACATATCTCTTAGCTTGGAATCCCTTTTCCAAAGCTAATTTAGTTCTTTTGCAACACAGTTGGTCATAATAGCAATAACGGAAGAGGAAAAGGAAAAAATCCTTAAGAGTTCCTAATTTACGCTGCCTTTCCTGAAATATATTCAACAGGGCTTGTCCCTATCAAAGTAGCTGACGCAGGAGTGGTACCTGGATTTTGTGTGTGTTAAGCAACAGAGAGCCTGTCCCCAAGCACAGACAATGTGCAGGCTTCTTCCAAGTGTACAAAAGAAAGATCCAGACTAGGATTTCTATTTTGGGTGCTTTCAGACCTCTTCTTTGGTGCCGCCATTTAGAAATCCTGGAGCTCGACAGGGAGGTCATTTTTTTAAATGCACCAGCCTTCACTTGAAAAAGCATAAAGAGAAACACACACACAAAAATTACTCTCATTGGTGTTTATACAGAACGCCATCCAGTCCTGCCCGTAACACCTACTAACCCCATGACCTTGCACTGGTTACCTAATTGCCTCAGTGTACTAACCTGCAACATGGAATTAACTAAAGTACTTACCTCCTGGGGTTGCTAGGATTAAATGAGACAGTACCTGGAAAGAGAGCAGCACCTACAAGGACTCTATACAATGTAGTTATTATTACCTATTTCATGCTTTTATCTCCATCCTGGAGCACGGAATTCTCTTCTACCCATCACTGATTTTGCTCGTTCAAACCAACGGAACCCAGTGAAATCCACAAGGAAGACTTGTAAAATGCTCTCCCTGACACTTGAAAAGATTTTTATACTGTCACTGATCTTTATATAATATTTAAGAATAAATGTCCAACTTGTAAAAAAAAAAAAAAAAAAAAAGGAAGAACCTTTATGTTAATACCACGGGAGAAACCAAAGAAAAAGCAGCTGAAACACGTTGCATCTGTAAGCCATTGTTTTGGTCTTGCAGGAAGCAGAACAGACTGAAAGCAACAAAGCACAGTTAGGGATGTGGGTTGACAATCGGAAATAACTGAATTTATTCATGTAATCTCTCTTTCCCCACTTATCAGCTATCCACAGATAAAAATGGGGGCAGAGAGGGAATCTTGTTGTTTTTCCTGACCGCTCCTGTACTCAGAAGTAAACTTGAACTTACCAACATAGCCCTAAACCCCCACCCCTCCCAAGTCTCTGAAAGCTTGATAAGAAGGGATGTGACTATAGATGCATTTTTTTTTTTTTAAAGATTTTATTTATTTGTCAGAGAGAGAGAGGGAGAGAGAACGAGCACAGGCAGACAGAATGGCAGGCAGAGGCAGAGGCAGAGGGAGAAGCAGGCTCCCCGCCGAGCAAGGAGCCCGATGTGGGACTCGATCCCAGGACGCTGGGATCATGACCTGAGCCGAAGGCAGCTGCTTAACCAACTGAGCCACCCAGGCGTCCCTAGATGCATTTTTTATAATAATGTTCGGTAATCCTTTATGTCTGTCTACTTGTTCTCACTGCTCCTCTGCAAAGTTGCTTCTTCTGGTCCTGGCAATTTGGCCCCAGAGAACATTTCTTAGAGAAAACACACACATGCATATTCCTCTTAAAATCTAGTAGAAAAATCCTATTGTGGGAAAAAAGGATAACTGAGTCAATTTTATCCCTGGTTTCCTAACTGTTCAGCCTTATTGGTCCCATGGGTCTCCTCACATTGTTAAAGCAAAAGTTCTGAGTCTTTTTTATTGGCAGAATATAATTACCATACTTAGAGGTATATGAAAATCCTTTATAGCCCAAGTACTGACCTGGTTCTGGGTGTTGTTAGTCAGTGGAAACCGCACCTCATCTTCTTTTCCCAAGCATTGAGGACAGGACAGGACCAAGAGAGTGCTGCCTTATAAGTGACCCACATTGGTTTCCTAACTTAGTGATTTCCCTGTTTCAGATTCCATGTTTGACGGGGTAACTGACAAACCCATCTTAGATTGCTGTGCCTGTGGAACTGCCAAGTACAGACTCACATTTTATGGGAATTGGTCCGAGAAGACGCACCCAAAGGATTACCCTCGTGAGTAGAATAGCCACTTCATGGATTGGGGGAAGGTGTGCGGTGAAGTTCTTTCTGGTTGTGGGGTACACCAGCCGAAGTATGTTGGGTCTGTTTGCTTTTAACAGCTGACTCACGAAATACACATTCCCAGGAAGTGAAAGTCATCAAGATAAGCAGATACAATACTGGTATGCTTTGAGCTTTCGTTAGGTAGCGTTGTTCTAATCTGTGATTTAAAAAAATACTCCTAAAGTCATGCTGCTTCTCTTCAGGTCAAGCGTTTGGTAACCTTGGTCCCCCTAAAGAGGCTGTATCTGTGAATCACACAGTAGATCTATCTGTGCTGGAAATAAGTGACAAGAGGGGGCTGCTCTTGACTCCACAGATCAAGGTCAACAAACATTCAACACCCTCAACCATAATGTTGGTAATCTATCTGCACACCCTTTCCCTACAAATTCCAGGTATCACCTTAGAATCCTTCAGGACATCGTGCTCCAGATAGCCAATACCAATCCATGGGAGTTGTTAGGAAGCCCCAAACTTGCTAATTTTGAGTAGATCCTTAATCAGGACCCTAGAAATTCCCTTTTATCATACCGTAGTCTCAAAAAATGCCTAGCATATGCCAGGCACCATGCTAAGCGCTAGTGACATAATAGCAAAAAAAGACGCAACCCCCATTCTCATACAACTCAGAGATTCATGGGGAGACTGGCATTTATCAAATATTCACACACAAAAATGTGAAAATTCTAACAATGAGTAGTGGACCTACTGTGTGCCGAGCATTTTTACATATGTTATGTCATTTAATCCTCAAAATGTGGATGAGCTCACTGAATATCAGAGAGATGTCATGATTTGCCCCTAGTCAGACGTGAGTAGTGGATCCAAGATTTGAAAAGGGATTTGTCTGGTTCCTTGTCCTGCCTTTAAGACCCAGTAATGCTCATTCTCTCTTACTGTGGGTGGTGGGATGTTGGTGTGTGGCACTGAACATGATTTTTCTGTTCATTGTCTGTTTTATTCTTGTTCATTTCACTTTGGAGTTGCCACAGCTGGGAAAGACGCGCAGAACTGGGAGGAGATTAAAAAGAGGGATTTGGGTCAGCCCCCCAAAAAAGGGGGAGCAAAGGGTATGTGGTTGGGACTTATGAAGACCTGGTCCAGACCGGAGCCTCCACGGTTCCCAGGCAGCCCACCCAGCGGGGACTTGGCAGATCAAGAGCTCTCTTGTTTAATTTCACCCACATTGTAATCAAGACTTGGGATCTTAGAAGCATCTTACTAGTTCATTCTTCTCACTCTGGGATTCAGTTTGATTTGCTTCAGCTGGTGAGGGAGACCTGCATGAACAAAGTTGGACTCTTTGCCCTGGGCGGTGGGGGGGACCACTTGGAGCAAGGATGATGGGAAAAAAAATGTCCTCCAATGCCTCCAGTCCACTAACCCAGAGGAAATAAAATGTTAGGGGCCCATTACTCATATTCCATAATCCTAAGGAGCTTCTGTGCTGTTCTGTTCTTATTCCCCAGAATTTGAAAAAAAAAAAAATACTGGCCACTGTTTCCGGGTCTGTGAGCCACATCAAGTACAAATCTGTACAGAATTTCTGTGGAACTGTTGGGCGTTTCTTACTAACGCAGACGTGAGCTCTAGATCCCCCCAGGATTGTTCCATTGTCAGATGTCAGTGTATCTTAATTTTGGGTTGGAAAAATTTGGTCACTATGTACAAAGGAGTGTTTATCACATTGGACTGTAATTATTTCTTAAGGAATCTTTCTTCTCCATCAGGCAGAGGAGTCCTCTGGGACAAAAGCCATGACACGCTCATCTTTCATTCTCAATGCCTTGGAAGTGCCTGGTGCCTTTCCAAGTATTATATACTGATTGTTGAACCCAGAGTAGCAGTCACTGAGACCTAGGAGGCAGATTTCTAGCTCCTGTCGAGTCACCATGGCCAATACTGCTGAGCGATTATAGACCAGACCCTCCTTAGAGGGAAAGGTGCTCAGGACTGGAGTCCAATGGAAGGGCACAGAGAGGGTCTAATAAGGACTTTGAAAATTCCATGCTGGTGGAAGTGATTTCTACTAATCTTAAGTAATAGATGACTTTCCCTTTAGGGCTCCAGGTATGATCTTGTCTTGATAACCAATCCTTGCCATGAAGCCCAATTAGGCCATAAAGCTTCCCAACCATGGTGGAAATTGATAAATGTCATGTCCCGCTCCCCTTTATTATTACTCATCCCAAATACCACTTTGTCCACAAGGATCTCAGAGCAGCAACTCTCAAGCTTTATAATTTCAAGATGCTTTTTGCATACTGAAAATTTATTGAGAACTCAAACATCCTTTTGCTTATATGGGTTATATCTATCCAAATTCAATGTGTCAAAAATTACAGATGTTTTAAAATACTACTTATTAATTCATTTAAAAAGTAGCATATAATGAATTAGCAATGTTAAACTCATTATATATTAACATATTTTATGAAAATAACTATATTGTCTAAAACAAAAGAAATTTAGTGAAGGACCCTCGTTTTACATTTTTGCAAATCTCTTTAATATCTGACTTAATTAGAAGACACCTAGATTCTGATATTTGCCTCTGCATTCAACCTGTTGTGGTATGTTTTTTTGGTTGAAGTGTAAAGAAATTCTATCTCAGATATGTAATTGGAAAAGGAAGAATATTTTAATGACTTCTTCATTAATTACAGATAGTCTTCTTTAATACTATACCAAAACCCTACAAAGGGTAGTTTCTTTTTTTTTTTTTAAAGATTTTATTTATTTGAGAGGGTGAGAGAGAGAGAGCAGAGGGCACAAGCAGGCAGAGGGAGTGGGAGAAGTGGGCTCCCCACAGGGCAGGGAAATGATTTGGAGCTCCATCCCAGGACCCTGGGATCATGACCTGAACTGAAGGGAGATGTTTAACCCACTGAGCCACCCAAGCATCCCTACAAAGGGTAGTTTCTTAAAGGATAATTACAGTGTAGAACATGAAACCGTATTAGTGAACTTGTACTCTGTTACATTAAAATGCATTGCTTTACTTTGCACTTGGAATGAATCTTTTACAAATAAATGATTTTGTGACATCATACATTGGTCATTTGGAAAACACTGGTTTAGCAAGTTACACAGGTGGTCCAGATGTAGAGACATTTCATTATACAATATCAAAAATCACATTCATTAATATCACTTCCAATCTCATTAGAAATGTGTTTAAGAGGGGCACCTGAGTGGCTCAGTGGGTTAAGCCTCTGCCTTCGGCTCAGGTCATGATCTCAGGGTCCTGGGATCGAGTTCCGCATTGAGCTCCTCATCGGGCTCTCTGCTCAGCAGGGAGCCCACTTTCGCCTCTCTCTCTGCCTGCCTCTCTGCTTACTTGTGATCTGTCTGTCAAATAAATAAATAAAATCTTTAAAAAAAAAAAAAGAAACGTGTTTAAGTATTGGAAAGCTACCAGATTCATAATGACAGATATAAGTTTTCCAAAATTCTTTTCTTTTTAGGATTTTATTTATTTATTTGACAGAAGACAGCCAGAGAGGGAACACAAGTAGGGGGGAGTGGGAGAGGAGGAAGCAGGCTTCCCGCCATCTTTTCCACTGGACCATGTTATTTAAAAATTACTAGTTATTAAATCTAATCACATAAAAGACCACCACTCTGACGCTCGGCAACACTCTCATTTCTTCATATTTTCATCCACATACGCAGTTGCACATTTGGAAACATTGCATCCTACTTTGCATCCTCCCTGCTGAACAGGGAGCCCCATGTAGGATCCCAGGACCCGGGATCATGACTTGAACTGAAAGCAGACGCTTAACGACTGAGCCATCCAGGCACTGCAAGTTTTCCAAAATTCTAAGTTTTGCTTGAAAGTTTGAATTTTCTCCTTGGCAACACATCCTGTCCGTTGTTTTCCTTGAAATGACATGCTCACTTCATTTTTGAGAAAATGTCTACCACATTCTCCAGTCTGAATAGCCATAATTTGTCTGTCATTGGTTCTTTCAAGTAAAAATGATGTTTATGAAAATAAAAGTGTCCAATCCAGCTTGCAAGAGCATTTACTCAAGACCAGCATCACATCCCAGTATATAGGGAAGTGTTTCGTGGATATTCCCCAGTTAGTCACACAGAATGGGAGAAAACTGTGTACTCGGATGTACAGAGACTAATAGATAACATTAATAATTCTTATTGTTTCATCAAAAATATTCCAAAGTGAAGCTGACTCTTTACATTGTTCACGGCCATTCCTGGCAGTGACTGTGGACGCCATTTGAGGCCACTGCTTGGATGGGCACTAAGTGACAGTGGTTCACACAGTACCACTTTGACACCACCAGGGTGAATGCCAACGTGTGGCAAATGTCTTGGTATCATTGTGAAAATAGTTTTCTCCTCACAGACTCCCTGCAACGGCCTCAGGGTCCCCAGAGGTCTGTAGACCACACTTGGAGGACCTCTGCTGTAGCGCAGGATAGCAGCCTAAGGTGTCTGTCCTTCCGTTCTCTTTGGGTGACTTGCCCTGGAGAATTTGCATTGGGCTCTTCAAGAAGATCTGGCAACACACTTGTTCTTCAGTCCTCACTTGTGGGGGCCACACTGCTATCCATGATGGCTCCAAATGCTATTTCTGGGGTTCCCTTTCTTAGAGAACAGGGGACTCTGCATCCACCACAGCCCCCTCCCTGGGAGATGCTAGGTGTGGCGAAATCAGGAAGGCCAGGGGACGGGCCAGGCTGACATCCCCTCTCCATTGTAATGACATAAACCTCTGCTGGCCATCTGGAAATCGTGAAATCCTTTTAAAACACCCCCAACTGGGTTGTTTCTAGAAATCCGTTTTGAGGCTGGAGCATGCAAGTTCTACCTCCTAATTTTATAAGTGAAAAAAAATGTGAAATGCAAAGGACTCAGATCACATAACCAGAGAGTTTCAGAAACAAAATCAAAGCTCAGCTCTCTTGATTCCCTTTTGC